ATATATTACTGAATGAAGAAATTTTGAAAAAACAAACAAAAATCCTTAAATGTAGTTAAATGAAAGAAATGTCGACGTCTGACGTTTCGGTTTATTAAACCTTTTTCAAGACAATATTCATCAAAATACAATTCAGTTCAATATGACAAATACGATGGACATAAAAACACAAGTCTTATTCAGAACAGATAACTGAAAATTTTTAAAATGATCAGCCTTCCGTCTAACATGGTCACGCTGTCGTCACATGGGCGACGCTTTCATAACGTATTCCTAAAAGTTTGTGATTATTTTGAAATGAAAAAAAAAAAAAAATGAAAAGAATTCTATTAGGTTCTAAAAATTCTTATGTGTATGCTTGTCGAGCATCAATCTCGCTAAAAAAGGGAAATATTAAAGAAACCAGGTCTAGTATTCACCGTGCGTGAGATGGATATTATACCTGCTTCATAAATCCTCCTGAGATTTTTATTATGAAAATATTTTAATACTTTTACGGAATCGAAATCGAAATTATGATCTGCTTTAGTTGTGTGTACAACTAAAGCATTGTTAAAATACCGGGACGAATATCTCGTTTATGTTCGAAAACACGAGATTTTAAGGACCTACCTGTTTTTCACCCACATATTTTTAGGTCACAATTTTTTGCATGATATTTGATAGATGCAAGCATCGGATGTAATATGTTGTCTGCTGGTGCTATTTAATAAACTACGGATAGTCCTAGTAGGTAATATAGTAGTTCTAATTTTTAATGCATTTAGATTATGAGAGATACGTTCGGTCAAATGGTTATTTGGTAAAAAGATGCGACCAAACGAAATATTATCAGAGGTAGCTGAAATTGTATCTTTCATTGATCTAGTTGTAGTGGCCTTTGAGGTGTCATTTTGCGCTGATGAGTGAATTTTTCAACGCTTTATTTTTTAGCTCTCTGTAATAATTGTCTCAGATACGAAAGATTTGAAAAGGTATCCTCAATATATGTAAATTCATCATTTAAATATTTTGATGAACAGATGCGAAGAGCCCTCAAATAGAATCCAATAACAATACCCCTCTTAGTGTTAGTATCATGGTGAGAGTAAAAATGTAAATAGTCATTTTTACATGTAGGTTTACGATATACTTTGAATTCTAATTTATTTTTATTTTTAATGAGTAATATGTCTAAAAAAGGTAAGGAATTATTAGATTCAAGTTCATAGGTAAATTCAATAGTAGGTTCTATTCTATTTAATCTATCAGTAATCTCGTTTTTTAAATCATGCTTATGTGGGTAGATAAATAAAATGTCATCGATGTATCGAAAGTAATGTGTATCAGGTGGAATGACATCTTTAAAAGGTCCAGATTCAAGAAATTCTAGAAATATGCATGCTAGGAATCCAGAGAGGACTCCCCATCGGTAAACCAAATTTTTTGTTTATAATAAATATTATTATATTGAAGAAACAATGTGAAGTGCAAAGGATGCATAATTTGATGCATTTCGAGATAGAGATAGGTAGCTTAAAGTCAATTTTCTTAAGGTGGTTCTCTAATTGTTTAATGCATTTATCAACAGGTATATTAGTATATAAAGATTTGATGTCTAAGCTAGCTAGTAATTTGTTATCTATATCAATATTTCTCAACTTATTTAAAAGAGCCTGAATTCTTTATATGTGCGTTACTTACGGTGCCCAGAATTGGAGTTAGAAATTTAGTTAAATACCTAGCGATATTATGAGGAGCTGAGCCTATACCCGAGATGATGGGCCTTAATGGAATGTTAAGCTTATGGGTTTTGGGAGGCCATAAATTTTAGGGACGGTCGGGTGGTAGTTAATAAGGGAAAGCCAAATCTTATCTTCATTACATATGAGTTTCTTATAGGACCTATTAAATTCTTTTAGATTCTTAGAAATTTGTATAGAGGTGATCTGTTCATAAGTGTCTCTGTCATTAAGCAAGTCCAACATTTTCTGGTTGTAAGCAATGGTATCCATGACAACAACACCGCCTCCTTTATCAGAAGGAGATATAATAATGTTATTATTCATAGACAAGGATTTTAAGGCATTCATATACCTCTTAGGTAAATTGAATTCCATATTTTGGCCATTAAAAAGAGGCAGCTAAAATGCCTTGGGTAAAACCTTTAAGGAAGTCAGAATCACTATGTTTTGTAGTTTATATTTATCAGTTTGCTAATATTGTGGTCTTTTTGAACCAGTTGCAAACTTTAGACCAAAACTAAGGGCTTCAATCTCCAAAGTGCTGAGTGTGGTTTTGGAAACATTGGTAACTAGATCCGTTCTACCCATATTCTTCCAACAGCTGCGATCACATAAAGTATGGAATTTTAGTTTTAAACTCCTGATGTGTTTTTGATTAATTCTGGTCACTTCGGATCGAAGTCTCTCCGCTGTGATGCGAGACATGCTGTTTTTCAATTTTAGTTCACGTCCTAGAAGTGTGGCTTTTAAAAAGGTTTGTTCCTCGGAAAACTTTAAATCTTTTACTGATGATTCCAGGTAAAGTTTGATATAGTCAGGGAAAATATGTGAAGATAAACCTACATGTAAAAATGACTATTTACATTTTTACTCTCACCATGATACTAACACTAAGAGGGGTATTGTTATTGGATTCTATTTGAGGGCTCTTCGCATCTGTTCATCAAAATATTTAAATGATGAATTTACATATATTGAGGATACCTTTTCAAATCTTTCGTATCCGAGACAATTATTACAGAGAGCTAAAAATAAAAAGCGTTGAAAATTCACTCATCAGCGCAAAATGACACCTCAAAGGCCACTACAACTAGATCAATGAAAGATACAATTTCAGCTACCTCTGATAATATTTCGTTTGGTCGCATCTTTTTACCAAATAACCATTTGACCGAACGTATCTCTCATAATCTAAATGCATTAAAATTAGAACTACTATATTACCTACTAGGACTATCCGTAGTTTATTAAATAGCACCAGCAGACAACATATTACATCCGATGCTTGCATCTATCAAATATCATGCAAAAATTGTGACCTAAAAAATATGTGGGTGAAACAGGTAGGTCCTTAAAATCTCGTGTTTTCGAACATAAACGAGATATTCGTCCCGGTAATTTTAACAATGCTTTAGTTGTACACACAACTAAAGCAGATCATAATTTCGATTTCGATTCCGTGAAAGTATTAAAATATTTTCATAATAAAAATCTCAGGAGGATTTATGAAGCAGGTATAATATCCATCTCACGCACGGTGAATACTAGACCTGGTTTCTTTAATATTTCCCCTTTTTTAGCGAGATTGATGCTCGACAAGCATACACATAAGAATTTTAGAACAATCACAAACTTTTAGGAATACGTTATGAAAGCGTCGCCCATGTGACGACAGCGTGACCATGTTAGACGGAAGGCTGATCATTTTAAAAATTTTCAGTTATCTGTTCTGAATAAGACTTGTGTTTTTATGTCCATCGTATTTGTCATATTGAACTGAATTGTATTTTGATGAATATTGTCTTGAAAAAGGTTTAATAAACCGAAACGTCAGACGTCGACATTTCTTTCATTTAACTACATTTAAGGATTTTTGTTTGTTTTTTCAAAATTTCTTCATTCTGTCGGATTTATATCCATTTACACTTGCTTATATATATTACTGTAAACTTTATATTTAGATACGATTATATACGAGTGAACCTCTTGATTTATCAGAGACTGGCAACTAATTCTCTCATCCGATCCACATGAACTACCCAGTGGGGAAAATAATTACTGGTTACATTCAATGCCTCGAAAACCAAACTAGTTACATTCCACTATCACCAATCAGACCCCGAACTACCACCAGTCACGATCAACGGATGTCCCCTTAGGGAGGCACCGTATCTTGAGAGACTTGGGCCTTAAACTTACTCCTGATCTCAAATGGAACTCTTACATACGAACTATCGCGAAAGATGCAGGAAAAATTGGCTGGTTCACTGTGCTGACTCCTCATACTATCGTCTAATTTTACAAGAGCCATATCAGGACTAAAATGGAGTACTTTTTTCAAATGTGGGCGGGAGCTGCCCACTTCACGTTTTTTCAGTCTCGATAGAGTTCGAAAGCGTCTCCGAATACTTGCGGAGACGCTCCAACCAATGTCTCTCACAGGCTGGATGTGGCGAGCCAATTGCTGCTCTGTCGTTACTACCATAGAAAGTGCTTGGACAAACCGCATTCCTTGGTTCCGACAGTTCTATAACCTTCACGGCTAGGACCCGCCATGCCACTTTCATTCTAACAAACCACCATCATTCTCTCCGTATTCCATCGGTGTTTCACCCGAATAGCTCTTTCCCGCGAACGACTGCTCTGTGGAACGACTCTCTAGAGAATGTTTCCCTGATCACTACAATCATAACCTGTTCAAGGCTAGAGTTAACTGTTATCTCTCCCTACCATTTGTATAAACTGCCTCTTAACGTGACCCTCTACAGGAGTGGCCCACGGGATTTGTATAGGTTGAACATTACTGTAAAAAAAAAATACACGTGTTTTAGTAAACATCCCTGTTTTTTGGGGTTTTTTTTTTTTTTTTGGTGGGAGGGTTGCGGCGGGGGAGGGGTTAACTGTTAAACACTGAAATTAATATCTACTGGCTTAGAGATATAGAAGTCATCCTAAAAATCGTGCCTCCTTACAGAAATAAAATCTGTATTTCCTTTTCCATGGAAAAGCAATTTTAATCTAAATGTGCCTTAAAATTTCACCCGGGCAACGCATATAAGGTGTATTTTTCAGCGCACTCACATCGCTACTGAATGTGACAAAAGGTCGAGATTTAAAGTGGGTTTATAACGGCAATATTGTGGAAAAATTGCCCATCCTCACCCTGGTACTTCGCCTTTTAGGGACACCTCAGGCACCGGGCAATAAACCTAGTCCCCCTCCCAAAGGAGAAATACTGTCTGGGTGGGGAAGGCCCTAAGATTAACATTTTTTAACCTCCTCGCATAAGCTTTCGTGAATAATTGAAAAGTGGCTCGTGAATTTATTCAGAATGAGTGCTTGTCTATGCAACATTGTGCGTCGATGTCTTATAGATAGATAGATAGATAGATAGATAGATAGATAGATAGATAGATATGTGTGGGGGGTGAAGATTTTTAGATAGAGTATATTATCTGTAAAAAGGACAATATATAAAATACAAAAGGAAAGCTTCTCTTAGTCGACGCGTTTGGTCCTCTAAGGGACTATCAGATTTGCCTTTTCGGCTAGTAAGTTTTTGTTTTTTATTTATATATATATATATATATATATATATATATATATATATATATATATATATTATGATAGGTGCAGCTTTTAATGAGTTTTTTTTTTTTGCCTTGTGTGATACGTGATAATGTTATCTTTTTGTAAGTTTACAATATCGTTGTAAGGTTGTTTGATGTTGGTGTATTTATTTTGTATGAGGCAGTTTGGTCCGAAATGTAAAAAGGTATTGTGTATGGTTGAATGATGGAAAAATTTGTCTGAGAAATTGGGCACGAATATGTATTTTTTTGTATTAATTGTTGAGCTTGTATTAAAAAAAGTTCATACTTCTATGTGAAATTAGGTTTTTGTTCTCGTTTACGGATATAAAAATAGAAGCATACGGCCTCCCAAGGTGCAAAACAATTTCGAAAGCCAGTTTGATCAATACGTGTGTACACATTCACACACGCACCCACACACACACACGCAATGGAAGAGATGACAGCCATCATCGCTGACTAAGGCCTTGTCCACGCACACAACAGAAGAGCATAACCAGCAGGCGCCGACTAAACCTTTGTCTACGCACTCATGAACACATTAGGCTGACCGTCAAAAAGTAAATTTATCCATTCATTTCATACCGCAAAAAGAACACTTAATTACTTTATAAAAGAAACTTCCCTGCAAAGAAAATTGAACATTTTATTGTTATTGAATATATAAATGTTATTTCAAGTTACATTCTGCTTCTACTTTTCCTCCAGAAAATAACCTTTTTTATGTTTCATTTAAAAGATGTGTTGTTGTTATTGTTAAAAGTTTGGAATCTCGATAGCAGCGAAAACTTTGTTGGACGGATGCCAACAAACTACCCTGGTTTTGTGTGATAAGGTTCATATATGTGTGTGTGTGTGTGAGAGAGAGAGAGAGAGAGAGAGAGAGAGAGAGAATGCGTATTTATGCATATTTGTGTGAGGGGTTATATATAGCCTCGGGGAGAAATTACCCATGTCGCCATCTTGTATAGCGTCAACAAGTGCAAGAAGCGTAGAATAATTTATCACAGAATGGTATTTTCCATATAGATGATCATATGCTTGTGAAAGTACAACTTTGTGTGAAAACCCAAGGTGAATATGCAAATTATTAATATGTAGTCTGAATCATGTTGACACAGGCATATTTTGTAACATGGTACACATATTGATCTGTATAAGTGTTGTGGAGTTATTTCGCAGTGGACGCTTGAATATGTACTAAATCGGTCCTAAAATAGGTTCGACGTACAAAACGTTAGGAACTTGATATAATAGGTATTACGCAGAGTAATCTTGTTGTGGTCGCTGACTATTTTCGTATTCGACTAACTGCCGACTACTGTCATCCGACATCGACTAGTATTTAGTCACCCCCACCACGAGGGTGTCATGTGGCACAAGGCCGGTTTAACGTGGAATCTCCGAGAGCCCGTGTGCTCGGCCAAAAATATGCCCTTTGAACCCGTATAAACGGGTTCAGGGTCGGTTTACCTCCCCGAACGAGACTCCGCCCTTCGGCATAGCCTCGTTCGGGTTCCTCCCCGCCCGAAGGCAGAGAGTTCAACCGTTCAGCCAGTCGTCCGACATCGACTGACTCTCGTTTCTCTTACTACTCCTACTTATATTAGGTGGGAGAGTCTACTAACTGTAGAATAGGTGTGGTTCACCATAACAATAAGATAGATATATTAGTGAATATACATAATAATAATTATATACATAATATATATAATATACATAATATAAATAATATCCAACGTTGATAACACTACTCGGAGTTTCGTGCAGTTAATGCAAACTCCGAGTAGTGTTATCCATGTTGGATATTATTTATATTCACTAATATATAATTATAGCTCTAATTCATAACATTGAGCACTGTTTTTATAACACCTGAGAAATAAATATACTTATGTACGTGCAAGTACTTGTGAGTGTATGTAATTTTTTATCTACCCATTCCTAACATAGATAGATAGATAGATAGATAGATAGATATTGAACTATGTTGATATCTACGAGTTTGAAAAAATGATTGAAAAAACTAACTTGCAATGGAGTACTCCTGTCACACAAATTAGTGTAGCCGACAATGTCGCTAAAAAATACGGTGACACTGTCGAAATATTCCGGTTCCACAGGTTTTCCCTGCTTTAGTTGATCAGCAATGCTCCTGAAATAGACACAACAGTCGTCATGACCGAGAGAAAAAAAAGGTCGGGATTTTATTTCAATTTTGTTGAGCTTATCATTAAACATAAAACTGCGCATCCACTGGGACAGACACACAGGTCATTTAAACACGGTTATCCACTAAAATAGCGTTTGAAGTGATAGATAGATAGATAGATAGATAGATAGATAGATAGATAGATAGATAGATATGAACAGACTGGGATAGATAGATAGATAGATAGATAGATAGATAGATAGATAGATAGATAGATATGGACAGCAAGTCATAGATTTCTTTTGATAGCCACATTCTCTATATCTCCAAACGCTCGGCATTTGAACATTCTTCCCGCCAAATCGCAAGTCTATATAATTATATACGTATTGCTTATTAGTTTAAACGTTACATTTTAGTGGAAACGCATGTCTGAGTTAAAAAAAAAAACTATAAATTACATCGGCCTTTACATTCGAGAGTTTTAATAAAGTAAATATGCCGTCCGCTTTCAAATGCGCAAAGCGATAGATGAAATTCACACCGTTTAAAAAAAAATAAAGATGTCTACTCAAACACGTGGATCCACTAAAATGTAACGTTTAAAGTAATAAAAAATAATGTTAGATTAAAATCAAATCCAATAATTAACATATATATATATATATATATAGTGAGCCCCCACCTATTCGCGTTTCAGCATTCGCGGCTTCACAGATTCGCGGATGTTAGTTTAGAACATATGTATTTGTTATTCGCGGAAAACCCGAATATTCCCGTGTTTTTCAGAGGAACATATGTGCAAATTATTCGCTGAGAACTCCCTCAATTCGCGTATTTTTTTTCGATAGAACATATTTAAAATATTCTTATACTATTTTCCTGTTATTTAAGTGAACATATAAAAGTCCATTTTTATGGTAAAAATTGGCAGAATTGTACATCTTCATTGTAAAAAACAAACGCAAAAACATGCGTAGTGCCTTGGCTTTGTTTTTTCTTAGGAGCTGCGGTCTTAAAAGTGGCTTATGCTAAGTCTGGGGGCATCATCAGAGTTGTTTTTAGAAAATGTTTTAAACTTTATTTTTTACTAGCAGCATGGGCCGGCGTTGCCCGTGCTTGATTCAAAAATCGTATGACTCATACAGCAATCGCTATCACTTGACTTAAAATATTTTTGCCCTTCCTTGCCTTTAAAGGAGTGCCCTTTGCCGTGCATATGTTGCTACATGCCTTATTTCTTGCCTATCTCACACTGCGAATTTTTTCTAAGCTCTATACTAAACATTAAATCTGTTACGAAAAAAGAACTAAACAAAATGAACACAAAACGATCAGCTTTAAAAAAGGACTCGTAACTGGAAAAACCGAATGAAAAAAGAATGTTAACAACAAATACTTTTTCACATCCAACCCAGTTTTGCGGAATCAGAATCAACGTTGAGTTTAAGCAAGCGAATGAGCCAATTGAAGAAAAGTGCCATGCAGATTTAAATTTTTCCCACTTGTGACGAATTCAGCTATCGATTTTTTTTTTTTGCATGCTAGCATGCTAGTTAACATTCGTGTCAGTCAGCTGTTGGCTCTCACGCTGACCAATAGAATCTTCCTGCCTATTCGTGGCAGCCGGCTATAGGCTCTCACTCTGGCCAGTACAAAATGGCCGCAAACTACACGAAAACTGCCGTAGAAGCATGAAAAAATCGATTATTTCCACTATCGATGGGAGTTGGGAAATGCAAAGTCGGTCTTGGCCTTCCCGCTAACTTGGAGCATGTGCATTTAATTTTAGTGTAAATCCGTCGAAAATTGCGGCCGTGCATTCGTTACACACACGCACACACCCACACATTCTGCCTTTTATAGATAGCGATGTCTTGTTACACATATTTTATACATTAGTTTCAATGGTTGCATCGATCCATGCATAATTAAAGACGGTTATTGTACGTATGAAAGAAAATTTACGCTAAGTGTATGGTCACCAATACTATTTTTCAAAAATGTTTTTAAAGGGGTCTGAAATGTTTCTAAAGTGTTTAGGATGAAATATGGGGTTTTAATAATCAAAATAGTTACTTATAAGCACCTTTTTTTTCTTAAACGAGATACTTTTGTATCTATTTCAATAATAAAATGAGAAATATGATCCTTATATTTAAATCAATTTAAATATATATATATATATATATATATATATATATATATATATATATATATATATAATTTCAAACGTCATTTTTATTGAATTCCTGTATTTGAGTTGACGCTCCGTTTTTTGTTTTTTTTAGACACTGCTTATTTCGAAAATTGCCCTTACAAAATTCGAACCCTCATCCTCATTTGCAGAATTCGAACATGCGTTTTCCTTTTCTCGAGTGAACAGACCGGTAAACGAAATAAACACTGTTTAGAAAAAAATGGGGTGTCTTTTCAAATCCGGGTATCCATTAAAAATAATATTTCGGATTAAAAAATGGAAATCCAGACAGAATTTTTTACTTTTATAATGTGGCACCATGCATCATTAGAAAACTGAATAGAGATATTCATAAATATATGATTTATTTTTATTCGGTTTATTAACCAGTTAATAGTTATTTAGAGACGAAGAATAATTGAGTTTTGAGAATAATTCTCTAACTGTATTTAGGCGATCCGAAGGAAAGAAGAAGGAAGAAAAGAAAGAAAGAAAGAAAAGGAAAGAGAAATAGATAGTACAAAACCCGGTCATAAGCACACAAAGCTTAAACAAAACAAGTGTTAAAAGATATCTAGGCCAAAGTACCTGACCGAAATTCACGAAAAATAGAAATTGTTATTTGAAGGAATAGAGTTTAGAAATAATAAAAAGAAAGAAAGGGAAAAGACAGGAACTTGATAACAAGACGGGGTCGCGAAACGAATGGGCACAGGCACGATTGAATCATAACAGATGTCGGTCAAGCACCTGACCTACTTTCGTGTCCGCGGAATATGGGAGTTTATTATCAATTTGGTTGAAGAAATAAGATTTTAGGGACAATGGAAAAAATATATTAATAGGTAACGAACGGAGTGGGGTGTCATTGACCGCTGGGGAAATATATACGAAAACAAAACATTGATGCACGAACCCTGACCATTTCTAGGGTTGAAGATAAGAATCACCCACGATGATGAGTCGAGAATATTTTCAATTTAAGATAATTAAGATTTTGTTAACAGGCCCCGAGCGAAAGAAAGAGGTGAAACAATTGTTTCAGTTCGCAGAAGACGCCGACAGGGCGGAAAAATTCTTTCTTTAAGTCACATCTAATTAGCGGCAGGCTGTTTTGACAATAAACCGGGATTGTCATTTTCGTAGGAAAAAGGACAATTTAAATTTTGTTTTTTTTAGCAAGGTATTTCTTCCCCAGAACAAAGCCACGGATTGTCCACGCCCGATTGGAGACGTCACGAAGGTAGGAGGGAAGATACCAACCAGAATCTCATTGGCCGAGGGCAGTCACATGATGCATGAGGGAGGAGGAGAAAACACCCGACTAAGTCTCATTGACCGAGCGGTCACGTGATGTGCGAGGGAGGAGGAAAGATGCTCGACCAGGACCCCATTGGTCGAGAGAGCGGTCACCTGACATACGAGAGACCAGGGGAAGCGGATATGCGCCTCCCCCAGAAGCACTGTAAGGAAGTAGGAGTGAAAGTAAGAGCGACAATGAAATCAGAAATAATACGACTTTGGAATTATCAAGAAAACCCTGGCGCCGACAGACCCCCCAGTTTGTTACAGCGTCAATAAAAGCAGGACCCCAATCGACAGAAATCAGTTGAAGCGGAGCCGCGGACAGCCAGAGAGCTTGAACGCGGGCGGCGGGCCCGGTTCATTCGCCCCCTTGCGGGCAAGAGAATCCGGAGTGAAGAAATTCGTCCAGCCCAAGTCGAAGAGAAGAAAATTGCCCGGAAGCCGCAGAGAAGTTAAAGTTGGAGCGGAGTTGCGGAGCGGAGTTGCAGAGCGGATGGCAGAAAAGTTGCAGGAGTTGGGTTTGCGCCTCAGACGAAGAAGAAGTTAACTTGCAGTTGCGCCTAGAGACGTTGGAATCAAACCAAGCCTAAGAAAAGAAATTCGCCCAACTCAAGTCGAAGTGAATAGATTCGTCCACCCGAAGCAGAAGAGAAGTTAATTTGCGCACTGACGTCGAGGGAGATCAGCCGTGAACGACAGGCAGAGATCAGCGCCCAGTGTTGAAACCAAACCACACCCCGAAATGCAAATTTCTAGAGAACAAGCAACTCGAAGTCTCTAAGTTTGTATGGTAGAAGCTTGGTGCCATAGTCCATAAAACGGGTCGGGAGGTAGGAACAATTTTATGTAACGAGCATTTAGATATAAAGGTTGTCACCTTTTCTTTTCAATAATTTTTGACCTTGTGAGTTTTTCTTTTTTGTGTGTTACCACCCCGTTGAACTTAGCTTGCTTACGGCCCCAATCCCTGTTTGATCCCGTCTGTCTAAGATCTAATCACAACGTGGGTAGGCAGACCGGAGATCAGTACAGTTACCCTAGTAACCAGGTGTTGGAAGCGAGTTGGGAACGACGAGGCTGGTATTCATCTAGCCAGAGGGTTAGAACGTCACACTTGGAGCAGCGAGGAGCGAACAGCTGACGTCGCGGCAAGAACGTCACAATAGGCGCCGCGACCAGGATCAACACTAGACCAAGCGACGTCACAACTGGTGCTGTCCGTGACCAGGATATCAGAGCCTGGAGAGCACGTGACGTCATAACTAGTGCTGCGAACGAGATCGAACGACAGAGTCGACGCTGCGACCAGGGGGGGCGACGTCACAATAAATACTGTTATATAATTATACAATTGAGCCATAATAAGTCACCCCGGGGTTATATAATTACAAATTCATTATATAATATGTAATATGACGGGTAGAATTTATTAAATATTTCGTTCATTGTAGCGTGTACGAGAGTGTACGGAGTGGTGAAGTGGTTAACGTCGCGGAATGAGAAATTGGTGAGTTGAGTTCGAATTCCAGTTGACTGTCTTTAAGAATATACCTGGGTAATATCTGATCCAGGAGTGTTTCCAACTTTTTCTTTTCGATTTCCAATTGCTCAGTTCGTTCTTCAACCAGAGATTCCAATTTGGCTGCATACATTTCCATTCGGTCCAACAATGTCTCCATTATATTCTTGTCTTTGCCCCTACCAAATTACAAAAATCAAAAATATTATTTGGAAAAAAAAATTTATTTGACACTTTTTCAATCTTTTTCAGAGTTATGAGATTGACCTACAAGTTATGGACAGTATTACATTTTCAAGCCCAACGCTAATAAATTTAAAATTAACCCTCTAACCATTTATTGCTCGAGTTAATTTTTTTAAAAATGTATCCCTAAAGTCTCAAGTAGTTACATTCAAAATTTAGTAGCTCTAGGGATTCAATCTGGCAACCATTCATACATGGCTTCAAATCGTACGTGTAATACTCTACAGCATTATTAGATTAAGTTTTGCTACTGCTCCCTTGCTATTGTGGTTTAGTGTACAATTCTCGCTCAACTTTGGGTTTTGCGGAAGGAAGGTTGAACTGTTCCATGTACGTCCAGAACATTATTCAACCAATTCCTGCAAGATTAAGGCGATGTTTTGTTCCAGCAAGATAGTGTCGATCCACGCGATGCCATGTTCTCTTGAAATATATTAAAACTCTGAAAACTAAACTTTAAAAATATATATAAATTATGACTTGGTAAATTTTAACAAATTAGTTTCAGATTACATTTGATACACGATTAGAACATATTCTATTAATTATTCAATTTCTGGCAAATATTCCTTTTATTGAAAATTATTAATGCAATATAATATCCCTAAGTGGGTACCGCTTTAAAAAAAAACACTTATTAAGAAGGTACAACTGCCGAAATATTGTGATAACAACAACAAAGATGAGGACAATAGTCCGAATGTAAATAGTGTAATTAATAATAACGATTCATCCCAGAAATTCAGACAGAAAATTATTAATCTGCAAAGTTTTATTTTTAAGCATGGATAGTTATTAAGTTATTAGAAGTTTTATACTCTTCATGTAGCACACATTCAAATAGAGCCGACCATTTTTTTCTGTTAAATATTCGCACGTATTCTTAAGTTCACTACTACGTCCGGACGCTAGGCGTAAGTAAAAGGACAACGAGTCAAACAGTCAGTTTGAATTCGAAGTCGGAGTAAAAGTTTGATGCAGTAAGAGGAATCATTGAGAATTCTTCCTGTGTGAAGTCCATTTCTCTTTGTACGAAAACTTTCTTCCTATGAAAAAAACTGGAGTGAAAATGGAACGAATTCACATTACATGGTGTTTCGCATTTTTATTAAATGCTTACCATCACATCGTTAAACCAAACAACAAACTAATGCCAACATTGTTGAAATTTATAATAGAATAGGAAATGTTACTTCTGAAATATTAGAAACAACGTTCGGCTTAGATTTGTATTGACTTGTTTAGTTTGGTTGATTTTGTTTAGCGGCATAAGGATTATTTAATGCCGAAATCTAATTTTGAATGCAATTGTATGCATTCAACTACAGATAAAGCATATTGCTTGTCATGTATTGTCGGTCTTTTTTATATAAAAAAAATTATATTGCTGGTATTTTTACTATTAAAATGTATTTTTATACTTTCATAGTGTTTTTGTTTTTTCGGGGGACTCACTATTTGCCTATACCTGGGACCCTAACAGGTGCTACCACCCCGAATCAGCGTGGACCCAGACACAACAACACTTAAAATGTGGTTCCACGCACTTCAAAAGCCCCAATCTTCCAATCAGAGGCCTTGCTACCAGATGTAGTTTTCCATCATACCCAAGACTTATATTTGTATTGGTGTGCTGCCAACTCACTATTTGAATTTAATTTAACATTTCTTTTTAATTAAAAAATAGAATCAGAATAAATCTTTCTATTTTAACAACCGATTTTAAATACTGAATTCGTACCAAAAACAAAAAAAAACGTCTTGATACCTACTTGTTTTTTTATTTGATCGTTTTGTATTGATGTGCTGCCAACTCACTATTTGAATTTAATTAAACATTTCTTTTTAATTAAAAAATAGAATCAGAATAAATTTTTCTATTTTAACAACCGATTTTAAATACTGAATTCGTACCAAAAACAAAAACCGTCTTGATACCTACTTGTTTTTTGATTTGATCGTTTTCAGAATGTATTGAAAATCCGGCCTCTCATCCGGGTTCTCTGACCAACACTTTTTGGCCAATGCACAGAGGAACTCATCTTGATGATATATTTCCGGTCGGAATGGTGGATTTTCTCCGGCTCGAACCTTATAGATTATTTCTATTTAAAAAAAGAAAATATTGGTTATTCAGTACTGAACTAACTCGCCTCTATAATCATAACCTAAAATTTATTCATGTCAACCAAAGAGAGGTTAATCCATCTATGTTGAAGGGAGTTGCTCCTCCATCATCCTCCAAGAAGAAGGTAGACTGAATAAGTGTATTGAAAATGTCAGTTATCAGTTATCTCCTGTTAATTCCCCGCTCCAAGTTCTCCACCGCCTTAACCAGGTATTGACCCAAAGAGTGTGAGTTCAATAGTTGGTTAAGACGGTGAAAACTGACATCTATTAGACATGACACGTGGAACTAGAACAGTCTACCCCAGCGAGCGAAATAAAGGGTTCAGCTCGACATTCCAACCACCTGAAGAAGGCCGGAGCGTACAAAAGCCGAAACGTTGTAATAAATATGGCGACAAAGATGAGGACAATAGTCCGAATAATGTAAATAGTGTACATAATACCTCATCTCAGAAATATAGAAATATGAAGGATCACCGAAACGTTGTGATAAAATGGCAACAAAGATGAGGACAATAGTCCGAATAATGTAAATAGTGTACATAATACCTCATCTCAGAAATATAGACAGATACTGAAGGATCACCGAAACGTTGTGATAAATATGGCAACAAAGATGAGGACAATAGTCCGAATAATGTAAATAGTGTACATAATACCTCATCTCAGAAATATAGACAGATACTGAAGGATCACCGAAACGTTGTGATAAATATGGCAACAAAGATGAGGACAATAGTCCGAATAATGTAAATAGTGTACATAATACCTCATCTCAGAAATATAGACAGATACTGAAGGATCACCGAAACGTTGTGATAAATATGGCAACAAAGATGAGGACAATAGTCCGAATAATGTAAATAGTGTACATAATACCTCATCTCAGAAATATAGACAGATACTGAAGGATCACCGAAACGTTGTGATAAATATGGCAACAAAGATGAGGACAATAGTCCGAATAATGTAAATAGTGTACATAATACCTCATCTCAGAAATATAGACAGATGAGGATCACCGAAACGTTGTGATAAATATGGCAACAAAGATGAGGACAATAGTCCGAATAATGTAAATAGTGTACATAATACCTCATCTCAGAAATATAGACAGTCACCATAACAGTTAATTAGTTTGAACTTTATTAGTACATCATTATTATCTCCAAAAATTCTTACAATCTAAAAACCTCTCTATTTAAATAACCCGCAAAAGGTTGATAAGTCGTAAAAAAGCTTCTTTACTTACTGCTCCATTATCAGTTTAACTTACCTTTCACGGAATATCGGGAACTGGCTATTTCATACGGGGAACACCGGAAAAGTATTTCTTCAAGAATGATACCAAATGAGTAGACGTCTCCTTTCTGGGTGCCCCTTGGTGGCATCACCACGCGAAGATGCTCTGGGGCTCGCCATAAAAGCTCTAAAATGAAAGATAAACTTCACGTAAATGTTACGCTCTTAATAATAGTACACACACACACACACACACACACACACACACACACACACACACACGACGACGACGACGAAGCAAGTACGCGCATAAATACGCGATAATCCTATCCTAAGCCTTAATTTAGGTTAGTCTAATCATCATATGATAGAGGTAGTTTCGCTGAAAACATCAAGTTTCTACAAAACCAAAAGATTAACTCAAAATCTCGTGTCAAGTTCTCGTCATCTCGAGACTTTATTATGGATGTCATCAGACTCGTTCAGAAAGCTATAGATATATAGAATATATGAAAGCGATTGAATACAGTTTACTTTCTGAACGTGGTGGGCGCCATAAATTTACTTATGAAATTTTCGAGCGGTTTAGGCTATTTAAAAACTATGATTCCAGTTCTTAGGTTAATATTTTGATTTTGCACTATCTTGGGGTATTGTGTATTTGATTTTGCAGTATCTTGGGGTATTGTGTATCGTGTATACAACCGCTTTCTCAGATCAACAATTAAAAATGACTTCAAGGGAATTAAGCCTGTAAGGTCTTAGTGTGGACTATCCTTCTTCGAATCTCATGAATTGATTCTATAGAATCACTAACAAAGTACTATACTAAATAACAAAAAACACGTCAGTTGAAGAATTTGGATAACAGCAACAACTAAAATGACGATCACATGTAAATCGAGGAGAAAATAATGACATAATCAAGACGTTGACGTTCGACATAACTTCAAACAAAAGGTTAGGAAGGAAACCGCCATGAATACTTGAAAGCACGATAACAGTTATTGGATTTAAAATCTATTTTACCTGAAAAATTGTTTTAATCGTAAGATTTTATAAATTTCAACCGACAGTGGCACTGGCTGCTCGGTCAATAAATTCTGAGTGTTTCCTTATAAGGAAATAACTAACATTACCATTAACATTTACATGTTTCATTTCCATGTATTAACATATTTATAAATTAATTATATATAAACACTATTGTTCCTTTTTTTAAATTTCTATCAACCTTTTTAAAAGTCCACTGCAGAAATTTTATATATCATCAGTGGAAACAGTAGCCATTGTGTGTTCACCGTTGGACAAATGTCTTTCTTAGCTCCTTCCATAGTGACTATGCTATTCTCTGCTATGCTTTACAAGCAACCCCCTCTGTCTCATCTCTTCATCTTCTGTCTTGTCATTTCCATCTTTGTTATTTATTGAGCACCAACCAAGCGACCTTTTACTCCATCTGTTATCTTCTCTTCTATTCCGTCCAACTCCAGTTTTCTCGCTTTAATCTTTTCGACTTTATCCTTTATTTTATTTTGGTCTTTAAAGTTCATTTTTTTTCTGTCTCTTAGAGTTTTCACTAACATTGCTCTTTCCATTGCTCTTTGTGGGTTACTAAGTCTGTTTGCAATATATTTTGTTAATTTCCCTGTCTCGTATGCGTACGCCAGCAATGTCATCATACATTCATTATAAAAGGTATTTTTCATTTTTATTAAATACTTTTCAATATATTGTTTTACGTTATGTCATTTCATTTTCACTGTCTTCTCTCAATGTCATCAGGTGCTTGAAGTAGATGTATTCCTGGACTTTTCCAGTTTTTCGTTGTCTATTTTTATGGTTCGTCTTCAAGTATTACAACTGAACATTACTTTTATTTTATTTTTAAACATACCTTGAGTATTTCACTGTTCAAGACGTTTTTATTACTTTTAATTTGTCTAATAATTCTGATATTAATTTAAAAAATGTCGTCAACAATTTGCACCTGGTTCAAATATTCACCATTTAATCTTACTCCCATTTCTTTCCAGTTGATTTTCTTTAAGTTCCTTTCGAAATTGTCCATCCTTGTCTCATTCCTATTCTAACGATAATTTCATATATTTTTAGTCGAATTATTGTAGTTCTGTTATTGTACATTATATCAATAAATTTTAGATAATTTTCTTTACTACCATAATCGCATATTGAGTTAAAAACTGTCGGGTTTTCTGCTGAGTCAAATGCCCGTTCATAGAGAAATAAACCCAAACAAAGTGGTTCTTCTAAAAGTTTGATTTGCGTGTTGATTTTTTATCTAGAGTACGTTTGTAATTACTGTTGGAATCATGTTTCTGCTTGTCTTTATTGCCACCTTATGTATTAAGTGGAATTATTATTGTTAGAGTGAATTTTTGAGGTACCTTTTCCCATATACACTAGATAAATATCTGTGCTAATCCCTTGTAAAATTCTATCCAGCATCTTTCAAAGGTCTGTTACTATGCCATCTTCGGTCAGTATGTTTCCGCTTTTTAATATTTTAAAGTGCATTTCATTTGTTGTTATTTGAGATACATCACATTTTGTCGGAGTTGCTACTGTTGTTTTTTTAAAGTCTACACATTTGCATTGTACCCCTTGGTCCTCTTTCATATCCCGTCTCAGTATTTGATGACTTATAAAAAACTGAAATAAAATGAATAAATTCAAAATAATTGGTATCTCTCTCGAAAACTAGTTCTCAGAAACATATTTCTTCTGTCTAGTGAGTCATGAATCGAAAGAGACATTTTATCACGTAATATTTTCATGAATCGAAAGAGACATTTTATCACTTAACTGACTGACTGACTAGGAGTAGTTTCACACAATACCCCAAGATACTACAAAATCAAAATATTAACCTAAGAACTGGAATCATAGTTTTTAAATAGCCTCATCCGCTCGAAAATTTCATAAGTAAATTCATGGCGCCCACCACGTTCAGAAAGTAAACTGTATTCAATCGCTTTCACAGATCAACGATTAAAAATGGCATCGAGCGAATATAACCTGTAGGTAATTTGACCCTGTGTGTTTTCCGGTGACAGCTGGCATCGGAGAACTGTTAAAATCTATTCTAACTGAAATCGGTCTATCTTTTTATATAGCTCTCTTCTTTAACAAAGAAGATCTATTTGGATATTGCTGATAGATTTCTGATTGACTCGCGAGACAATAACGTCATATTCTGGTTGGATACAGATCTTATTTCTGGTTGGCTCGTGGAGATATGACTTCAAGGTCTAGCGATTTTCTTTGTTCAGTATATTCCGAATTTTCGTGTATTTTTAGCATTGACGAAACTTGATTGAATTTTCCCCTTTTCGTCCTCGTTATATGCTCTTTCTCCTAAATTCCTTAAGCGTTAATCGTTCTGTACAAAACACTTGTAGGTGTAAACAAATAAGAAAAGTAGAAACATTATCATAATTTATTTGTTCGTCCGGCTGGTGAAGAACCTAAAAGAAATCCTACTCTAGATATGGTATGAAGATTAAAGCCCCAAAAGAAAAAGAAAATCATGACAATACGAGAAAGGGCTTTAAAACAGAACAAAAGTCGGTGGTAACGAACTGAAATAGTTCAAAGATCTTGAACCCAGCGAAGAGGGCTGCAGAATAGAAATAAATTTCAATGGCTGCACAAATAGTTGCAGCTGTCACAAAACTCAACATCATATGGAAATACAAAACCAAACCTGACCGTTGTGTGCATGGGTCTTCTCAGTCTTTCGGTATGTCTGCAAATCTTGGACATTAACAGTAGAATTATAGCGAAGAATCCGAGAAATATAAATGAGATACTTTAGAACCATCCTAACGCAATGCGGGACGCCATCAGACAAGAAACCGGCCCGTTGGAAGTCCTCATAATCATCCTCAAGGAAAAAAAGTCGAAATGGTATGGCCATGTCACGAGTGCCAGCAATCTTTTCACTGACATTTTACAGGCTTCCACTTTAGGCAAAAGAAGAAGAGGCAGGCAAAGGTTGAAAAAAAAAAAAGAAAAAAAAAAAAAAAAAAACGGGCTGAAAAACGTCACTGTGCAAACGGGTGGATCGTTTTTATTTTTTTTTTTACAAAGATTCAGACATTGGAACACAACCGAGCTGGTCAAATGCAGATTAGCGCAGTAACTCAACGACCACGCATTGTCATTGGGATGATTATAATAATCATGATGATGATGATGATGATGATGACAAAAACAACAAAGTCATTCCTTCCATTAAAGAAACAAACATAATCAAGGGGGAGAACTCGTGATAAGTACTAAGTTACCAAACTCTAGATTCTAAAAAGCTATTTTCCTTTCTTGAGTGCTTTTAAAAGAAAGGCAAGTGATAAAACGCGTGTTTTAAAGAAATGCCCGCACTGCAAAGTAAACAACTATTTTTCTCAGATTTCACACAAGTGGTGGCATTAGAAAAGAAATGAATATTGTGGCGCCAAGACTCCATTAACTGACATCAGACGAGTCCAGGAAAGTCTTCCCGCCACAAACGACATTGGGCGCGTCGTTTCGATTCTCTAAACATTTTAGCTCTTTCTGCCGACAAATGAGGCCGCCATTCACAACGACCGACATTTGTTTTTAGTTTTGCCTTTTACACTTCATCGACGCGTGCCGATTTACTTGACAACAAAATGAAACAAAAGACTTGGCATTGTTATATTTATCGTTTCGTTTGTTCGCGGCAATTCGTGGATTCCCTCTGTCCATGTACGTTTGTTCTTCATGCCTTTGCTTGGATCTTTTTCCGTTTGATCTCTTCTTTGTCTCTTCATAATATATATTATGTTTCATAAATTACAACCCACCTTCTCTCTCTCTCTCTCTCTCTCTCTCTCTCTCTCTCTCCCTCTCTCTCTCTCTCTCTTTGGACATTTTTTTCTTTTGCTTCTCTGTCTTATTATATTTTCCTGACATTATATTCTATGATGTAAATTTAGCTGTTTCTTTTTCCTGTCGCCATCTTCCTTTCATTTTCTTCTGCCGTTGTTTGCATTCTTTACAAAATTAAAAGCAAAGTGTGTCTTCTAGTTTTCTTCCTTTGTTCGACATTCATTTTATTCCGTTTATCTCTTTCTCGCAATTTTTACTTGGTTTCAATTCCATTCATTCTCTTTTCTTTCACTTTTTCTTTTCTTTCATTGC